TGTATGTATGTATGTATGTATGTATGTATGTATGTATGTATGTATGGTTAGAAGGATTATGTTCAGAACCAAAAAGATAATGGTTATCCAGGTGCGCTGTTGGCTAGTTGAAAGCTGCACCAATGCCCGTCAAGTTTGATTGTCATGTAGCTTGTACGCGGGCTTCGCGGGTTCTGGCCTCAACGCTTTCCCATGCATCTTGGGACTTTGGACGCGGGGGTCTTCTGGCGGCTGCCCTGATCCGTGCAGAACCGGATCTACTTTGAAAGAGCTAGCAGTTGGCAGCTAGCCAAAGAATCCCCCCCCCGATCACGATGACCAAAGCATGTGAAGGATCAGCTTTTCGGGTGCAATTCTTCAGTTCTTTTGTTTGACATGTGTTGTCATCCATTGTCAGGACTTCTTCACCATTCTTTTTGTTCCCCACAGTCTGCCGGGCCGAGGATTGGATACCACTTGTTCCTGGCGCTTGTGCTTTGGGCAAAGACTCCCATCGGGCACAAGCGACTGGTCTCAGCATGTGAGGGGCACTGTTGGGCCGCGAGGGCAGTCGCGACGAAGGACGGAGGCAGGATGAGGCGCCATGCACACGACTTGTACATGCTGCACTTCTGCTTGTTGGGCGGAACGTGATGGAAGGGAAAGCAACCATCGAAATCGTAAGAATTCTATGTCAGGTGCTTGGGCTTTGTGCCCTGAAAGCCATCGTCAAACTGCCCGCCTGGTAAGCACTGTATCTAGCTGGAGCCGTTTGGAGCGCAGGGTCGAAACCAGCCATTGATGGGTCCATGGGGTGCATGTTGATCACCACAAGCCCTTGTCTTGGCTGTAGCTTCCACATTCAGGTCGAGGGATCTGATCAGGGGACAAACAAGAAGGGAATCATACCAAGATCTTCCTCTTTCTCAGGGCAGAGGAGATTAAGCAAGGGACTCTAATGAAGGCGTTTGGCGACTTCTTATGGAATCAATGAGAGCTGGAAGTTCCAGCACAAAACCGTGCAAAGAAAGACGTTGCTGCTCGTTGCTGCTCAGTTTCCCTGCGGTTTCACCCAAATCGAACGCACTAAGCAAACGTCGCGATGGCGCGAGATCGGGTGGACCTTCAGGGGCGGCTTTTGGGGCTTGTAGATGGTTTGAGACTTCCCATCGCTGAACTTGGACATGCCGTGTAATTCGAATGCCTCACGTGAGGTTCGATTTCACTAGCCCCTCCCAGAGGCCGTTGTTTCTGGCAGGCGACTTGGTTCGGTGGAGTGTGGCTCTGGGTCAACTCACCCTGGTGCACATCTGGACAGAAGCGACCGAACATGACCTTTTTTCGGGATGTGTGTACAGATTCAAAAGCTTCTCAAGCAACCTTTCCTGGATTTTGACATACTGAGCCCCCTCATAAAGGACAAGATCCGATAGATTGTACTGTGGAGGCTTGAATGGGGACAGAGCACGCCGTTCGGCAAAGCAAGTCGCTCGCTCACGGGGTTGTGGCATTCTTCGGGATGCCAAGTCACGAGGCACCGGGTCAATGTGGCACTCTTCCAAATGATGGATTTTTGCTCCACCGGGCAGGCAGAGAATCAGACTCAGAGGGATTTTGGAGGATGGCCTAAATATTGGTGACCTCATCGTCGCGCTCCACATAGCCCCTCATAGTCGAGCGACGTATATTTGGTGTTTGCATGGAAGCGGAGTAGGGGAGCTGGCGCTAAAAAGTCCTGCACTCAAACACTTGCCCTTCCACCTACAGGATTAGTTTGTCAAGCTGGCCTGGTAAACGCATCTCCAGAACCTCGGAAACACCATTCGCGGCTGGGTGTTGGCTTTCGGGTTCTGACATGACACGGGCACGCTGTTTTGGGGACAGGGGCATGGAGGGTAAATATGAAAAATTCACTGAATTCGAGTTCAGTAGGGTCATGAGTCAAGCGCTGTCGGAGGGTTGTCGGGTTGAACGACAGTTGCTCGACATGGTGAGCTGTTGTTCACCAAACCGTCCAGCTGTTCTACCGAGGTTGTACAGCTAAGGCGGACCTGTACAGGTTCCTCTTACGTTTGTTCTCCCCAGAAATCCTGTGGCCACGAATGCCAGTCAAGAAGGGTTTCCCTGTTCGATGGCCGTACAGCTGAGGGCCATGCTTCGCCTTGAGCCCCTTCGGCTTTGGGATTTTCTGGGCTGCTGCGCTCTATCTCTACCTGCGCGCTCGCCGGTGTGCGAAGCAGGCGACGATGGGCCGGCATGGGCCTGGTCGCGAGACTCGGTGAACTCGGTGAAACGATGAGTGAAGCATCTCTACTTGTCGCATGAAATGTTGATTTCTTCGAGATTTTCTTCAATAGATTTTGATTTTGATTTCCATATGTTGATTTCTTCTCGGGGGAAAGGGCTTGATTTCTTCAAGTCCTTTTCGGGTTCCCCCGTTGTTCAGATATGGTCCTGGAATGCCCCCGGACCCTGCACTCCACCGTTCCCGTTCGCTTCCACCGTGCTCTTCCCTGTTCGGGTCCATGCCGTTGCCGTATGCGAACACTTCGCGCCAGGGCCACTTTGATGCCGGCACCAAGTGGCATGTGATCTTCCACTGTGTGGGCAATTTGGCCAACTGCTTGTCGCTGGGCTAAAACAACGCCAACTGTTTGGTCACATGGCAGGAGGATCACATGGCAGGAGGCCAAAGGTTTGTGCCACCATTTCTTGGGAACCTGTGCCGATTCTGCAACACCGATCCGCATAGCAGTTTCTTATAGTTTCTTTCTCGCACAAGATTACAATTTCAACTTATATGATCCAAGTCAATCATTTTAAGATGTTTCTCCTCGAACAGGTTTGCTTTTCTTCCACCGGTCGGCACACACTGAGGTTTTATCCCGGTCTTTTACGGGTGTGACGGGCCGCTGAAAAAAGGCCGCCGCAACGCGAAGAAGCGGGCGATTTAGTGTGCACGCTGGGCTGGCAGGGGCTGGGAGTGTGAATGAACCGGAAGTGATTTCATGATGTGCATCCCCCGACTGACCAATGAGCCGTTTCAAGTGAAGACCTGAACCTGGAAGACAGCAACACACCCGTGCAGGACCTCAAAAATCATGGAAGAAGAGCTGTTTGGCCCCCATGTCCAGAGTGTATGATGCCCAACTTAAGTGGAAGAAAGCAGCCGAAAGGGACATAGAAAAGCCCTTCGTAGTTCCACCAGGAAGGACGCCTCCTTGGTGCTAAGGTCGAACGCCCCGAGCGCGCGCGGCGCTTCATGGAGCTGGGTGCGTCCGGGCGACCGGCGGAAGAGGGAACCAGAAGGATGACGGATGGCGGATGGCGGACGGCGTTCACCGAACTCATGGAGTTGAAGTAGTTCACCGAACTCACTGAGTTTTTATGTATACATTTTTTTTTTTTTGAGTTCAATATTGTGATGGTCAAAATAGAATAACATGACATTCTTACTCCCTGCGCCAGTACCCCCTTTACACGTACCCCGAAACGGGGGAAAAAAGAACCGGTAGCGAAAAGAAAGGACAACGGTGGCGGGCGAACGGCCGACGTCTCCGACCGGGACGTGACGGGACGTGGACTGGGCTGTACAGAGAAAGGTGGTCATTCTTACCATACCAGTAGCTCTACCATTGGTTCCTCGGTCCTGATGTGGGCCACGGCCGATCCCACGAGCTCCAACAGCCACCGGGTCGACCTGCTTGGACGGCCGACCAGTCGAGGTTGCAAACCGGTCTAGAGAAGACTCGCTTCTTGGAAAGGCGAGTGACTTGGAGGTGACGAGGTACAGTGCGTTGGTACGGTGCGTTGGTACGGTGGTCCCAGCTCCAGGTGCGCTTTGTTTTGGGTGGTGCGGCCCCGATTGAATTGCTGGTTGGTCCATTGTTTTGATGGTTTCATCCTCAAATCCAGCGTCTCTGGTTTTCTTGGAAGAGTGTGGGCAGCAGTCAGGGCCGGTGAGAGAAGCTTGGGATTTCTTGGTGCAGTCTCACGGGGTCTGTTCTGGGGCGCAAGGAAGTAAGTAAGAAAAGGTCGGGGATGGGTCAAACATAAACAGACAAAAGATGCGAAAGAATCTCGAGGCAGACCTGTTTGTTCATGGTCTGGGGGTTGAACCCCCCAGCGTTGATTTTTGGTGGACTGATCTGGGTCGCATCCCCTGCCTGCAGATGAGATTCCATGAGAGAATGCTGAACAAAAACGGTTCCAGGCAGCTTCTTTCAGGCTGATCATGTTCTTCCTAGTTCTTCCTTCCAGGCTCTCATCCTCCTGCCACGTGTGACCAGGCGTTTGCCACGGCTTCCACCGGCCAGAACCCACTTCTGGGAGGCGACGGGTCGTCAACATATCTGAACCAATTGGGCCAAACTGAACCACATTGAACCACCAAGAATGCATGGCAATGAAAGAACCCTTGAGGGTTTCCCGTGGCAAGAGAAAGGTCCAACGCCGCAGGTCTTCCGTATTTGGTCACCGACCCCATTTCCATACGGAAGGACGAGATAGAAGTGCTCCTCCCATTTCAGATGTGGTGAATCATGGTGAATCCTATCCATGAGGCGAGGCGCGGGATGCGGTGAATCTGCCATACGGAGCAGTCGAAGCAGTCGGAAGCTCCCAGAGCTTCCTGCATTTCCGACCGCCACACCAGGCGAAGTCGTCCCTGCAAGCAGTTCGCGATCTCTACGACTGCCAGGGGACCCGTGAGGACCTAACTGCCGGGCCCGAGAGGTGTCCGTGTTGCGGAGCTCCTACTTGTGGGAAAAAAGGTGCACCATATCTGTTAAAACCTTTGAAGACACCCCACTGCAATCCAGGTGGACCGTTCGCTTGTTGGCGGCTTCCTTGTTCCACGGAGCACGGGCTCCACGGAATCCAGGTGGATGTTGGTTCTCCGCCTGTTCTCCGGCTCGCCCGGGAGAGCGGTGCCGTGTAGGGCCTTTAGGTCGAAGTGTCGGTCGTTTCCACAGCCCCAATCAAGAGAGGCTCTTAGTAGCTCTAGATCCTTTGTTGCACGTGGAACTTACTTCACTCACACTGACATACTAGATCTACAAGTAGACTGAGGCTATGCAGCGGATCCGTTGATGGCCTGCCGGCCAGTGGAAGGCCGCCGGTTTTGGCTGTTGATTCTCGCAGATGGTGCGAGCCAACGATGGTTCGGAGTCAGATTTGGGGGCATCCTTCAGTCAAACTCAAGGCCCGAAGATTTCGAGGTCCGATGGTCGTTTTGAAGTAGAAGAGAGTGCACAGTGAATTAGTGAGTTGGGAAGCGCACACCAAAAGAGTTGGGAAGCATCTTCGCAAGCAAGAACTGGAATTAGGTCCCCAGACTGGTCCCTAGACATGTGTCTTTGCTGCTGGTCACTGTTTGCACGCTGTTCCAACATGTTCCAACTATATATTATATAAATATAGAGAGAAGCCGTTTTCCGGGATGCAGGCTAGGTAGAAGCCGTTTCCTTTCAGGCTAGGTAGATGTCTTCAGTTATCAGCTCTGTGGGAGGCATTCCTCATCGATCGAACGTACATCGGACCCGTCTTGCTGGATCAAGGGCAGAAGGAGACAACCTAGAAGCCGCCCAAAAAGCAAGAGAACCAACAGAAACTCACAAGCTACGGAGAATGTCCATGCCGCAGATCCCTTACGTGATTTTTCAGGACTCTCGGAGAGACGTCTGCAGCGATTCGAGAAAGCCGCAGCGCACATCTGACCGTCCGATTTGTTTGCCTGCCATTCCCAGAGAAAAGGTGGCTTGGCATAGAGGAGTGAAGTCTGATTTCTTGGGGCTTTCTGGGGCTTTGTGGCTGGAACACCCGGTCGCTACTGCTAGGGCCGGGTAGACACCTAGCATCTTCAGATCTCGTCTTAAAAGGTCATGTGAAGACTTGACTGTTGTGCAACGAAGCACCCAGATCTCGTCATTTTGCTTTCTTCCTACTTGGGTTTACCTGCCCTGAAAGTGGCCGAAAATGATGTTGTTTGGAGACTGAACTTGTCTTCAAAGCAGCAAGAGTTAACTTCATCAGTTCTCTTCAGGAATATTACAGGGAACGTAGAACAGAACGGCCTCATGATAGCAAAAGCTCAACATTGCTACTCATCATTGCTCAGTTTTTCGTCACGAGTTTACAGATGCGACATTGCACATGGAGTGTATCACATCTGAGTTTGTGACAGCATTACCGGTATCATTGTCCCGAGTTAGTGATGGATTGTTTGGGGCATGAGAATGAAACAAGCTATTTGTCACTAGTGCTTTATATGGGCGTGGGAAAAGACTTGAACGGCCAAAGCCACCTGCGTAATCAGCCACCTGTGGCAGGTTTATTTGGGAATCACCCCAGCCGCAGTTCAGAATGTCCATCGGAGAATTTCATGATTTTCACCATGGGCAGTTTAACCCACAAGGGAACGCGGAACGTCACAAAGGCATACAAAGGCCATCTATCTAGCCACCCGCCCAGGTTTCCCTGGATCCCCATCGGGGCATCACCTTTAACCCATTCGTTTGGTGGCTTGTCCTATCCAGTTTCAAAGCCATGTTTGTCTTGCGATGGTTTCTCGAAAAGGACATCAACATGGAAAAAACATATTTGTTCGAACAAACCATGACACACCATCGCTTTGAACAAATTAAATTATCGCTTGTTCAGGACAACAAGCAACTGGGCTTTGAATTTCCCAGTAATACCCTTTTTCCGCCCAGGCCGGCCATGACGCACTCAGAGGCCTGGGAGAGGCTGAGCGGCTCCAAGTCAGGTGCGGCGCTCGCGAACGAAGAGAATTGGTGACTCTTTGAGATCTCCAAATCGATGGTTGACAAGCTTTTTTAGAGCATTCTTTGAAGAGAAGTCAGATGTTCTTTGATGATCTTTGATTCTGTTTTTGGCCAATCTCCCTTCATCGTGGTTTTCCTGCCTTCTGACCCGAAGGCAGGCAACACGACTGGCCGCTGACGACTTCAGGTTGTGACATGCTCATGGAGCGCCTGCACCGGACCACGCAGACCTTCAGTCCATCGTCCACGGACGGGGAGTCTCAGAGAAGCACGCGCGGCGCGCGACCGCGAGTTTCGCCGAGCGCTTGGAACACGAAACGCCGGATGCCCAGGACGAGGAGTTCTTTTCTTTTTTGGCAGAAGACCATGAATCAATCTCTTGTACGGAGTCTTTTTTCAAGATCTTTGTGACAGAAAATCGACATCCTTTGCTAAAGACGTGAAGGGCCTCAACGTGAAGGGTCTTGGCAACGACCATACGCCTTATATAGACCCCTTGTCATAGATAGAACCACATAGAACCCACTCTCATGGGAAAAAAACGGTGCAATCCTATCTGTTGGGGACTGCACGAACCGACTCGGCTCCGTCGACCGTCGCCGCCCGCGGTGACCGCCCTCGGTCGAGGCTGGACAGATGATTGTGGGCCCGCGGGCGCAGCTGGAGCTGACGCCTCAACGAGGGATATAAGGGTGGAAGACCGGTGGGACCGCATCCAAAAGGTGGGCGAGACTTGGTTTCTCATGGTTTCCCATGGTTTCCTCTCAAGTCTAGAGTCTAGAGATTCTAAATTCTAGAGGTCCTAAGCCCTAGGCAGGTGCTCTTTGCTCAAGGTGCTTGGTAGGTGGGTGTCTTTTGGGATTGCAGCTACTGTTTGCTTGAGACACCCAGGCCGCCATATACCAGATGTATGGTCGACCATGGAAAGGTGCAGACGCTGTGCAGGGTGGTGCTTAGAAAGGGGGGACTCGGCCGCTTCTTGCATATACTTTCTGATGGCCGGGGTCAATGAGTAAATGTGAGTGAAGTCTTGGGGTGTAGAGCTATAACGCAAGATATTGCAAGGGGATTATTCTTGGAGAACAACGCCCTGAGACCAGCGTTTCGATTTAGAACAAACGAACATGAATGAAGCACTTCAAGGCCACACTGGGGAGAATTCTCAATGTAGCACACAAACACTTACATTACATCGATCCCATCTCATGTCTTGTTTCTGCCATGCCTTTTATCACGGGTGACGAATTGCCCAATGCCCCTCGCACAAGCACCTTTGGCCCGTGGCCGTACACGCGCTGTTTGAACGGCAGGTGGTGGATAGTGGACGCTTTGGTCGCTGGGCCATCGGCCATGGCTCGGGCAAGAGCTACTGGGAGCGGGGCTCAGGAACTTCCTTCTTTGTGAATGGGACACAAGGGGGAGGGTTCTTGGATATTTGGGGAATAATACAGGGATGATGTGTGCGGGCGGCTTCTTAGCCAACTGTAATTAAGCGTTCAGTTCACGCGGACGTGTGAAGGCTTTGATCATAGCGGACCCCGACCAAAAATGACCAAAATGGATTACACACATCGCAGTCGCATGAGAAGACGCCGAGAGTTCATCATGCTTTTTCGAAACGACTGGGGGTATTGACAAACAGATATGTGTCACATGGCTCCTGCTCGTTGTTGTGGCCCCTCCTGTCTTCTTCTTGTGGCTGGTTCAAGCATTTGGCTTCGTGCAGCTTCGTCCACATGCAAATCAGACGCCGGAAGCACAAATGAAGAGGCAGAAGTTCATGGCCAAGAGCTGTTCAAGAGGTGGATTGGGCGATCATGGCGAACGTATCCATGCAGCTGTTGAGATCTAAGTATACATGTGTATACGGTTACCATTGTATACCATATATACTATACACTCTCACTGCTCCTTGAACCCTTGAAAGGAGGGAGAAGGGGGGTCCTCGATGTTGCTCCGCATGCACAGCAGCCCCAATTATTTCCCTCATTGGATCGTCCTGATCTCTCAGCACATCTCAGCACTCGTCTATAACTTATAAATGAATATCATTGAACTTATAGAGATTCTCGGAGACTGAAAGAGCTCCACTGAAAGACCTCACTGGGCCGGTCAGTGCTTGGAAGGCCCTCCCAGTGCTCCCCATTTGTTTGTTGTTCCTTCCCACCTCGGTTGAACTGGTGCCATGGAACTCAACACCGGTGCCCTGCCGCCACCGGGGTCGGCGGCCTACAGCACCCGGCACTCCTGGCCCTCGTGGAGGCGCTTTGCGCGGCATTCACGGCACGTGAAGGAAGGAGGAGGAAGGTGAGAGGTGTGGGTGGAGTATGCTATTTGTTAAGTAGTTGATGATGTGGATCATGCCGTGGCAGTTGACATCTGGAGAGATCACGAAGAGAAAGACCACAAGCCCATCAACGTGACCCACAAGACCCCTCTTCCAAACCTCCAGAAACATCTAAGGGCCTCCCAAATCCTCCAAAGACCTGCCAATTTCACCTCCATCCAACGGAGTCGCCTTCCTCCCTGCAGGTCGAGTTCCTCGGTTCGCGTTCCTGGAGCGACTGCATCTCCCCACCGCCTCAGCCTCACCCTCAGCCTCTGCTGTGCGCGTTGGTTCCGCCACCGCGCGGGGCGGTGCCACCGCGCGGTTCCAGAGGCGGAGGCGGTGGAGAGGCTGCGCGGGGTGGATGAGCCGCTAAGAGCTTTGGGCCGAAAACACGGACAGAGCGGGGTGTGGACGGTGTGGACCGATGGGAGGGTGGCAAGAAGCCACATTGAAGCCAGCAGAGTTTGACTGGTTTGACGATGCATTCCGAAGAGAGTGGATGTTCAGTGATTGTTCGTGTCCTTCTCCGTGTTCCATAAACATGCACATGTCCGCACATGTCTTCATGCCAACATTTGGATTCATCCCCAACAAACAAAGGTGATGATGTTGAAAGACTGAAAATCCAATTGACTTGAGAAGAGCTGAGCTCCCCTTGTTTCACCCAGACTAGACCCACAAGCTGTGATGCGCCGAGGAACCTTGGTCTTCCCGAAGCTTGAGGGAGCTCGCTGCATCGCCCTGGTGAAGGGCCAAGTGGCACGAAGAGAAGAAGCCATTCCGTGCCGTGTGCACTCGGAGCCTTCGGAGGTGGCAAGTGATGGCAAATTTATGTTTCTCTCTTTGTTTCTCTTTTTTTCCGGAAGAACGGTGCAAGAGAAAGACGGCCACTGGCGAACCAAAAGCCTGTGCAAAGTTTCAAAGTGCATGTGTTTTTTTAAAGCTTGGATTGGTGCGATGTGCAGACTGGGTAGATGGACCGGGATGTGTGTGGGTCCTACCACGGCTTCATGGAACCATGGGAGGTCATGGGCTGTGTGGGCTCGGATGAACTGGAGGAGGCTTGCTCATCCTATCAGGAGCCTTTTTTGCCACCTAGACCCTCACCCATGTTGGACGGGGTTGCTGGCTAAACGTGCGTGCCCCTTTTGAGGGACCTCCAAACCGGCCGCCTCTTCCGGCCAATCAACACCTTCAAACCCGTCAAACCACGTCGTCGTCAAACCACGTCGTCTACTCGCTCCTCGGCTTGCAACTCGTCGGCCACATCTAGGCTGGACGCATCGCTGCTAGTAACACGGGCATGGCTGAAGCTACTAGGCCATTTAGGCCATTTCTTCGTTCGGTTGGAGGGTTGGCCTAGGAATGCTTGCTGGGGGATGCCTTCAACTCCGCACGCTGCATGTGTGGTCCGCAGCTGCGCAGCTTCATCGAAGACGTGCTGGCGAGCTCCGCCTGTTCGGACGCCATCCTCTTGCCGCCGGGCCTGCACCGGAGTGCCAGGGTGGTGTGTGGCCCAAAAACCATCCATGGGTGGTGTGAGTGGTGTGAGGGCACGATTCTTTTGCGCATTGGGAAAAGAAAGGTGGTTCGGAGAAGGGTGGCACAGCCCGAAAAACATGCCCTACTTGTAGCAGAAGAGTAGGAAAGTAAACAGTTGGGTTCCAAATTCTCGGTTTTGGAAGGAACACCGATTTCACATAGCAGAAGATGGATCAAGCATATTCGCACGTGTTTGGTCAGTTTCCTCCCAGCGCAGTGATTCAGGGTGTTTTTCTTGCTGCATTCACTAATTATATACGTGCTACTAGCATCTACTACTGTAGCATCTACTAGTGACTGCCTGTTCGTCATGCTTGTAGTTCACGGACACTGGGAGTTCCCCCGCCAACCCAGGTGCTTATTTGACCCCCTATGCTGATCCACCATGGCTGAGGTATTTGCAGGGTCAAGAAGGGAAGGGCATCGGCTTAAGCAACAAGCTCCGAACATACGTCTTGCAAGACGAAGAGGGCCTGGGTGAGGAGGAAGCGAGCCTGAGGCAGATTTAGATGATTTGTGCTGTGAAGTTCTTGCTTCGGGGGCAAAAGAATCTGAATACACTAGTATACACGCACTCAGTAAATTATTCTTGAAAGGGAAACACATCAGAAGACCACTGTCTTGTTCGGGCCATTTCTCTATTCCATGCCACATGCTGTAATCCTTCTTTCCTCACCAGCTGAGAGAGTGGGGGATGTGCAATGGACCACACTGTTGACCACACTTTTGACTCACATCAGTTGGTTTGATGCGACTTAGAACCTCTTCAGCCCATAGGAGCAGTTCCAGTTTTCTCATGAGAACTGAACCATGTTTTCATGCCTTTCTTGTCCATGGCTCCAGATGTTTGTTTTCTTGGGTGGATTTGATAGACCTGTATATATAAGAGAACGTATACACAAGCGGGAGAAAAGCTCGCCGACAGCTCCGCCTAACTTGACTACCGTCCACCTAAGGGAAGGTTGATGGAAGTAGATTCGAGAAGAAAAGCAGGATGTGCCCCATATAGATCTAGCCCACTTGTCTCACCAACGAAACACTCCTCCACACCGAGGAACCTCCGTATCGGCTTTCCCCCTGACCTGCGACGCTACGACGCCGCGCGCGTGGCGCTGGACTTTCTCCAGGCACGGGACAGTCTACATGACACGAAATGCCGCCCAAATTGCAAACATAGACATGCAGAGACCATCTCCTCCCGGTGTTTTTTTTTTTCTCTCTCTCTCTCTCTCCCTCTCTCTCTCTCTCTCTGTGGCTGGCTGGCTGTTTGTTCTGTTCTGTTCTGTTCTGTTCTGTTCTGTTCTGTCCTGTCCTGTCCTGTCCTGTCCTGTCTGTCTGTCTGTTCTTCCTGGAAACTGTGTCTCTCCCTGTGTGAACTCTCTCCGTGTTTCGTAGTCTGCCGTGACATCCAACATGTCCTCTCTCTGTCACTCCAGGTCTCCAGCGTGATCTTGTACACCAGCAGCCCTCGGAAGCTCCAGGGTCTCCGTCACCTCGTCGCCGGCACTGCGGCCTGGTGCCCAAACACCGGCCGCTGGCTGGACCGGTCCGAGGTCGAGCGACCAGCGGAAAAGACGGCGGGAGCTGCGGGTGGGATGGAGGTGGGAGGCACGAGGATTGGATGAGATCTGCATGGAGATCTGTATGTTGGATGATTGGACGATTGGCGATTGACAGGGGACATGAAGTTTGCACGCATCACAGGACCACAGGGCCAGTGCCTGAAATTCAGTGTGCAAGTTTCACTTTTGTGCTTTCATACGTTCACCCGGTTTCAAGTTTAAGCTTATCGTACCCAGCCAGCAAAACCAGTTGACTCAATGCAGTGACAGATCAGTTGTATCCTGAAGTCCAAACGGTCTCAGGATCGGGGGACACCGTTCTCCAGCCGGCCTCCATCCCCAAGTGGACACGAGGTGTGCAGAGGGCGGCGGGGGCCTGGGCGGGGGATTCACCAGTCAGCATTTGTTGTCCTAGATGAGTGTCCCCGCAAATGTTTGCCGAGGTTCTTCAACTTTGCCTCTCCTTTCTTCGGTGTTTCTCCAGCAGCGCCGCCTGCCAGGAATTGGCCACACTGCGCCGAAGCAACTTAGAGAAGTTCTTGCCAAAGAACCAGCCTCACGCTGGGGACACCCAGAACTCCGAACCGATGCTACCGGTCAGGCTCGTTCCAGCTTGCAGCAGGGAACGACGATGTTTCCACTGCCATGAAGGAGGTTCACGTCTCGCACACACGTCTCGTAACCATCGTTGGCACATGGACTGCACATCAAACGAAACCTGGATTGGCGTGAATGTTTTGGATATCCTTGGATCCTCTCCTGAGCTGCGGGGAGGTTCCAAAGGCCGGTTCTTTCCAGCTTTTTTGCTGCTCTCTGCCGCCGAGGAGAACACCTTCGCCCGGATCTGGGGCCGTTCGGATCCGCCGTTGTATACGGGGGAAGTGGCCCAGCAGTCACCGATGGTTTGTACATGTGCGGAGACTCAGGGGGTGTGAAAGGGGCTGTTGTTGCTGAATGTGTGAGCTGGATCTACTTGCTCTCCGAACTGGCGGGGGCATTTGGGCATCCTTAGGATGCTTAGGATGCTGACATTTATGTTTCGAGAAGCATTCGGTCGGGATTCTTAAGGCAGTTGCGAGGGAGTTCTTTTTTGGGGGGTGCATGGTGAGAGATTGAAGTCTTTTTGAGGGGAAGTTGAGGTGAGTTGCTGGATATTGGATGGATGCACCTGCATCATGGTGGTATTTTAACCAGACAGACCTGCCCCTATCCTGAACCAGGGCAAGGAGACAAGTCCAACATCCTGGATCCTGGTTGTGTTTTCGGGACGGGAAAAAAAACAGTGTTCTTGCAGGTGGGTGGGTGGGCCAGACCTATCTTGGTGATTTTAGGTACCAACTCTACGGCCCAAACCCCTTGTTCGCGATTCTTTGGAACTCCTTGGGAGCTCTGGGGCGGCAAGCACCTGTGGAGCTCCTTCTTCGCTGCTTCGGTGTTTGGTCGAGGTTTCGACCGAGGTGGACACCCCAGCCATACCCGAGACCCCCGCACAAGGGAGCCAGAAACATCTGGAGACTCACTCCGCTTGAGATGACATGGCTGGCAGTTGCATACAGAGCAATAATCTTGCAGGACAGGCCCACCAGAAAGCAACAACAATGACAACAAGAACAAGCACAAAGTACAAACAACAACTGCAGCCTCGTTAACCGTTAACACGCATCTTCTCACTTTGTCTCTACCCCTGCCTAGAAGCAAAAGCTGCCGCCCTGCGGTTGTTTTGTGACCCCTGCGAGTAGTAGTAGTAGTAGTAGTAGTAGTAGTAGTAGTAGTAGTAGTAGTAGTAGTAGTAGTAGTAGTAGTAGTAGTAGTAGTAGTAGTCGTAGTAGTAGTCGTAGTCGTAGTAGTCGTCGTCGTCGTCGTCGTAGTAGTAGTAGTAGGAGTAGTAGTAGGAGTAGGAGTAGGAGTAGGAGTAGGAGTAGGAGGAGGAGGAGGAGTAGTAGTAGTAGGAGGAGGAGGAGGAGGAGGAGTAGGAGTAGGAGTAGGAGTAGCAAGTAGTAGTGCGGTTACGCCATTAAAATCTTTGGAGGGCGGCCCAGGGTTAATCCTCCCGGAGGTAGTGTATAATTCGTATTCTGTCCGTATGTTTGGGGGCGACGGGCGGCTCCGCATATTTAAATGTGCAGCTCCTTCATCCTTGACAACACGCCAAAGCCTACTGCAGCCCCGTGGTTGTTTTTGGGCCTCCCCTCCAGAACAACACTTCAAGTACCAAAAAGCGGACCAACCCAGCCAGACTTCAGCGAAACAAACCCAACGAGTCCAGCTACTTACGATCAACATTCCCTCACTTCTTTGAAGTTCGGCGGCCGTTTTTTGATTATTAAATCAACAGCAGCAGCAACAACAACAAGAACAAAGACAACAATAACAAACAACAAAAACAACCAGTACAAATACAGATTAACAACAACACACACAATATAATATATATATAATATGGGTATTTCCCACCACTTCTCGGTTCCCGACCGCATCCCTTTCGGAACCGCTGCCGCTCGCCGCAACCACCGCAACCCCGGCCTCGCCCTCTGAGGCGCTGGAGTCATGAGACGTTGACGGCCGTCGGCGTGCGTCCTGTGAGTCGACTTGCAAGATGTGAGTCGACGAAGTGCTGGGTGTTCGATGTCCGGCCAACGAATAGGCACGTGAGGGATGGGCTGAGTGTTGAAGGTGAAGAGGGTGAAACTTTTGGGGTGAAGAGATTGGGTATAGGTAGTATAGGTATGTATAGGTCGAAGGATCATGTTGTCCAATGAATGACTTTGGTCTGTAAAGACAAAGTGCGCAAAAAGCGACAAGCGCATGCCAAGCAATTTCAAAGCAAACTCATCTCTCGCCACAGTCACCTAGAAGTTTTAGGTTTCACGTCAGCTGCAAATGGTAGCCTGGCTATTTTTAGGTCTCACAGCATTGCAAAAAGGACTCGGATTTCCGAGCGACCCGGGTGAACTTCGGCAGGGGTGTGGTCGCTCCGTACTGTGTGTTCGATGCCTGAAGAAGGGTCTCGGTAGCTGTTGATTGACAAGCTTCCC